CTTTTCACAATTTTGGTGGATGGACCTTATTAGATAAATCATATTTGATCTATTTAGAAAAAGGAAATGGATTAATTACATTTTACAGAACAGCATTCAGTGAGGAAAGGAATGTTCTGAGACTCCACAATTCTCAAAAATTCTGTTTGATGAAATTAATAGTTCTCAAGTATAAAAAAATTGCAAGTATTATATGACAAAAAATAATAATAAATAGCCCTGCAATTATGAAACAAAGCATATTTGGGATAAATTCAAATCCTTGCTCCACTCGATGTGTATGGCTACAGTAGAAGAAGCATGTTGTTTAAAGTACTTTGATGGTCTAGTGAAAAAATATACATTTGCAATTTACGGAATCAGGTGAGAAGCCATTAGAATATTTAGATAGGTGCAACAGAGTGCAAATAAACAAATATACATTATACATTTAATAATTCAAATATCTTATCAAATATTTACACATTAAAAAAGTGACTCATATTTAATCCTAGATAATTATGTAGATGTAATGAAACTATTTGAACCATAATGCAGCCTTTTAAATTGGACATCAGTGGAAAGTAACATTGGGATGTCACCAAAGCATGGAGCTCTGTGTGGTTCACCTTAATCTCCATGCATTTCATTACCATGGATTTTTTTTAGAGCCTATAGTTTAGATTCCATCATAGTAGGATGTGACTTTAACCTTTACATTGGTGGCGGTTGTTGCTTCTCAGCTACACTCCTTCCTTTCCCGACTCTCCCTTCTCGAATCCCTCCAATCGGGTTTCCGTTTCGCCCACAGCACAGAAACAGCTCTGGTCAAAGTGACAAATGACATTCTGTCCATCTACAACCAGGGCTCCCTCTGCCTCCTCATCCTACTTGACCTCTCTGCTGCTTTCGACACCGTCGACCACTCTATCCTCATCCACCGTCTCTCCTCTCACCTCAACCTCCACGGCGCCGTCCTTGATTGGTTCAGATCGTACCTCTCACACCGCCTGCATTTCATCTCGACAAACGGCTTCTCCTCTAGCCCCCGCACCGTCTCCTGCAGCGTTCCTCAGGGCTCTGCCCTTGGTCCCCGCCTCTTCAATATCTATATGCTCTCTCCTGGTGACATCATCCACAGACATGGGGTCAACTTCCACATGTATGCGGATGACAGTGAACTCTACTTTTCTGCCTTCATCCTCGACTCCAGGACCACTGTTGTCCTGACTGAATGTCTGTCAGACATCAAGTCCTGGATGGGAGCTAACTTTCTTCAGTTGAACGTCAACAAGAACGAGGCTCTCCTGAGTGGCTCCTGTCAGCACCATCTGACCTCAGACACTGACAGCATCACCATCCATGGTTGCACAGTCCACCTTGCTAAGCCAGGCCGCAACCTTGGGGTCTTGTTTGATCTTCAAGTATCCTTTCTCCCCCACATCTGCGCCATGACCCGGTCTACCTTCCCCCACCTCTGCAACGTCACCAGGCCCCGCCACTGTGTCACACCGCAGGGTGCCAAAACCCTCATACATGCCTTCATTACATCAAGGTTCGACTATGCAAACTCATTGCTTGTCGGCGAAGAGTGCGTTTGAGTAATCATGATGGGAGGTAGTTTTGGCTGCATTTGGGGTAAGGTACGGTCAGAGGCAGGCAATGTGGCGGAGGTGGAAGAAGGCGGTCCTGGTCAGGGACCGGATGTGGGGGAGGAAGGACCGCTGGGGTTGAACTGGACACCTAGATTGCACACCGGTTCGGTGAGGCTGAGCCCAGGGCAGTTGAGTTCAGATCCACAGGAGTGAAGACGTGGATGGGAGCCAAGGAGTCTGGCTTTCATCCTGTCCACATTGAACTGCAGGAAGTCTGTTCTCATCCAGGCCTTGATGTCTGCCAGACAAAGTGATAGAACATCAGCGACCTGGAGTTTGTGTGGAGGAGGCAAAGTAGATTTGTGTGTCATCCGCTTACATGTGGATGTTTACCCCGTGACTGAGAATCACACTGCCCAGAGGGAGCATATAGATAAGTAAAAGAAGAGGGCCACGGATGGAGCTCTGGAGTACCCACACAGGTGACCGGGCGGGGGCAGGAGGAGAAACTATTTGTGGATGAGGGAGGAGAGGTGGTGGAGGAGGATATCAACCATCAATTACAAAATAAACACCAAATGCACAGATTGAATTAAAAGTAAAAATGTGAAACACTGCAATTCTGCTCATCCTATTGGGTCTCCCCATGCTCATCTTTCCCATTTTTATTCTTTTACTGTATTTCCATCCAATGAAATTGATCATGTATTTTTAAACTCTCATCTTTTAAAACATACATTTTAACCATTGTACAATGTGTAGCTTCTTCTCAATTTTCCCTCCTGCTCTTCCACTTTCGGAGCAACTTTCCAAATAGTAAAAATTGAATTGCCTTAAAACCAATTTCGAAAGCCAGTTTCACAGCTGGTGTGTACCGAGAACAGGATAATTTACATTTTTTTCTGCAGATGCACCATTGACCTATACTTAAATATCACAACTATAGAGATGATTGATGACCAAAGACTCCACTCACTGACAGTGAATAAAGCAGACTGCAACATGCTAAGAGCTAATATACTCGCATATAGTCCATAGGTACACAAATAAGATTAATCAATTCGCAATACAATAAGATAAATGTTTTTCACATTATTTAACCCTCAATAATTAAAATATGTGACTAGTTTTGTAAAACCTTCTACTTTGTGGTAAAAGCCACTGAATTCTTTGATAATACACTGTGGTAATTGTTCTGTGGTAGTCATAGTATCAGTACTTAAAATTCAAACAATTCAAGCAATACCTTGGTTAAACTGCATCGAGTCGTGCAGTATCACATAGTTCTGAGAGTGGTGCAAGTGAGCAACAAAAATTGTCCTGCCGTTCCCATCGTGTTTGGGTCAAGAGAGGCAGAGCTCCACATAGATACTTAAGTTGTTTCTAGTATCCAACTTGGCAAACGGTAAAGAGAGCCGCCTGAATACTTTATTAGCTTTTCAAAGTTGGCCTATTCCAACTGAACCTTGATTTGGAGCACTTCAAGGTGTCAAATTACTGATCTCTCAGAAACTGAGAATGCAGTTTTAATTTAGTAGAGGAGATATCACTTGTTCATAAACCATTACAATGCTGGTTTGGCATTTATAAAGTGGAAACGATTGAGCTGCTCTCATGCCAAATCTATTGTATAATTGAAATATGAAAGACCTGGGATCATAGAACAGAAATCGACACTGAGGATGGAGACCATTCAGTCCATCAAGCCTGCACCGGCTCACAGAGCAAGCAGAATACTTGAGTCCCATCTTATCCCCATACCCCTTCAACCCCTTTTATAATCTTCTATACTAATATAACTGTCTGTCTGTACTTCAAGAAGGATTTCAATAAGTGATTGACATAAAACATGATTTATACCTCATCAGAAAGGTCTTGCAACTGGAAGGGACGTGGGCATATTTGTTTTCATGTATTGCCTATCGTTCATGAGTTATGACCTAAAATGTATTTTAGTGTTGCATTTTTCGCTGCAGTTACATCTGGTGGCTGCTGAGTCAAAGTAGCACGGTGGCATTGTGAGTCATGTAGTACGTACATATGTATGCACACACTGCAGTTACACCTGGTGGCCAGACCAACTGACTGTGGTACTGTGGCATCCTGCGTCACAGAGCACGCACATAGCCAAGCGGTGGAGGGAACAAAGTAAAGAACACAGATGAAGCTAAGCCGCAGCAACAACAAAATTACATTTTTAAAGTGCCTTTCAGTCTGGAGGATTTCAGAGTGATTATAAATTATACATTATATTTATCATTATAAAGATGCATAAATGAAAATCAAATCTTTCAAGGATAAGTTAAAATGTTAGACAAAAGAGAGAAGGCCCAGTAATGAAACTGAAGAACAACGAACAGCGCGGCCGCACTTCAATGCTGAAAGGACTGCAACAGCACGCCAAAATGAGCTTCTCACTCAAAGAACAGCACGGCCAAAATGAGTCCTCCCAGATGAATATAAAGATGAAATGTCTATCTGTGTGTCAATCTACATTCCATATTAGATCCTTTGGTTGCAAGCGTAGCTGCAACGGGTACAACTAGTAATAATATAATCCTTGCATTTGATATAGCGTCTTATCACATCTTCAAGGCATCTCAAAGTGCTTCACAGAATATACTGTAAAGGGAATTGACTGTATATTTTGTGGGTGAAACACACCAGCCAACAGTCGTAGATTGAATGACCAAATTATTATTGTTATTTATTTTTGAAGGGATTATTACCCCCGGAAAAACGAATCCGCCAATCACCTTACAACGGGGTTCCCACCTACTGCTATATAAACAGAGGCATGTGGAGTAAGGAAACTTGCAACGCTTTGCCCAACCTGGGAATTGAACCCAAATAACTTATCCCTATTTACCCTTCAAAATCTTTCATAATTTTGGACACCTCTAATAGGTCCCCCACAAACTTTCTCTACCCAATGAAAACAAACCCAGCTTCTCCAATAACAGTAGCCCTTCACCTAGGGAGCCTTTTTGGACTCCCTCCAAGGCCTTAACATCTTTGCTGATCCTCCCAGAATGTACTAGATTGGGAACTGCTGGTATTGATAGCTTCTCTGGATGATTTGCACTGCAATGAAAATAAAGATCAATTTGATAGTTAAAGAAAGGTAGTTCTACTGAGTCACTTTGTAAAGATTGTTTTCTGAGCAGGTTTAAGATGTGCTCAAGCAGAGTCATTTTACAATCAAGATAGCAGTTCATCGCAATTAAATGTTGAAGTCACCTCTACTAAACAAATGGCCTGTGTTCCCATTTTTGTCTACTCAACTATATATTAACAATATAATACCATTTCTTGTTTTATTTAATGTTTAATGACAGAAGTACTAAACATCTCATTTTCAGTCATAAAAGATCTGATTAAATAATGCTACTTTGGTGCAGAGTAGGAAGAAGAAATCAGAGCAGTTACATTTATAGCAGTTATGTTCTTGACATTAAATTGATATGTGCTCACTCGTTTTTGATGCTCTCTCTTTAGATCCCTTTTTAGTTCAAAAAAACTGCAGGTAAAAGATAAGCAGTTTCAGAACCAATTCAATGTGAAAATTATCAGAACAGTTATTCCTGGGATAAAAAATAATCCGTCATTGCAAAACTGGTTGTTCTGTTAATTTAATTTAAATGTTAATAACCCATTTCCATTCTGAACTATTTGCTAGGAACAATACCAACAGAACACACTGCAAAGCCGCCCTTAAAATAAAAAAGACTTTGATCACTGGACTTGAACTAATTTCACATGAATGCAGCCATGTTATTTTAAATTACAATGAAAGAGATTGGCTTTAAACCGAGAGACGTGTTTGACTTTATCAGAATTAATTGGAATTGAGGCCTACTGTATTGTATTAATAAAACACATCAAAGATCAAACATGTAGAATTAGACGTTCTGTTCACGGCTGTTGTTCTTTTAAATGTTCTAATTATTGTGACAGATGTTGGTGTAACCATGTAATGTTACATCATTTACATGGGAACACTAATGCACCATACATGTATTTTCTATACTCTAGAATCTGTCACCAACAGACTCTTAGTTTTATACCCAGGGTGTTATTTTGGGGGATCAACATGATACATCATTGGTTAATAACTGTATCAACATGCAACCTACTGATACTCATTCTATTGGGTTATCCCCAGTCAACAAACTTTAGAAACAGAGATGGAAATTTTGGGCATTTATATAAGATGCATCTTGGACTGAATTGTCTGGCTTTTCAAGAGAAAGGGCATTTGACCTTTCGCTTGCTGCTTCAGGCTCCTGAAAGGAGAAGATAATCAGTGGTTATTTGCCCTAGGCGATCCTCAGTTTAACTCACTGTATCGTGGATTGCTTATTTATTAAACAAGACAAAATGTAGCAACCTGTATTTTGAATCAGTATATTCTTGATCCTGTGATTCAGTGCCCGCTTGAAGGATGTCACTGCAGAAGACCTCAGTCGTGCCCAGTGTCCTCGTTAACCCTTACCCTCTAGATAAGGCTGAAAGTTAATTGAACATAATTGATTCAGGGTCCTGGTTTGCCATTTGAGCCATGTGCCTCAGTACATCTTTTTTAGTTAAGATACCAAGGAGCCGCCTGCAACAAGAAAAATAGCACATGGAAATTGCTTCAAAGATAGACTTTGGTGAATCCACATAAATGCTTCAATTCTAGGATAAGAACATATTTATATGAGTAATGATCACTCCTAGCAGCCATTTAATAGTGTAGTATTCATAAGTACTTGGAAGTTTAAGAACAATATCATAGCTCTAATGTGTGGAGCATCAGAACAGTAACTGATGATATTCACTGTATCAAAAGCTACTTACCCACTGTGGGTAACCAGACACTGTCGAAGGCCAAGTTTTCGAAAGATGTCCACCACTGTCTCCATGGGCGTGTGATCAGTCACTGTGAAGGGGCTCAGGTTCAGAATCCTGCGCAGTTTCAGTGGACAGGGGCTATTGGGAGGCAGCTGTGGGGGATCTTCAGTTAAATACACAATTGAATTGCTCACCACTCCATCTTGCCTCTTCCTTGCATTTTCTAACATAACAGAAAAAAATTGGAATCAACAACATTTGACAACAAACATTAAATGGCCTTGAAGATTTTTAACAAGGCAGTCGTGGGTGTTTTTATTTAAATTGAAGATCTGACTCCCTCTTACATTTCAAGTTATAATAATACTCCTTGCATTTGATATAGCATCTTATCATGCTGTTGAGACATCTCAAAGGGCTATCACGGAATATATTGTAAAGTTGATTGACTGGATATTTTATTGGCAGCGAAATGCTGGCCGAACATTGTGCACAGCAGTGTCCCACAAATAGTCGTGGATTAATAGTAATACTCTATTGCATTTGTTAAAGCACGGCGAAAGTGCTCAACAAGTGTTACTGTAAATCGCTGAAACTGATTTGTAGGCGGACATGGCAGCCAACTAACATACGGCAATGTCCTACAATCAGAGATGAGATGTCTGGGGAATTGTTGGCTAGGACATAGGGAGAAACTCCCTTCTCTTTTCAAATAGTGCTATAGGATCTTTAATAAGTTATTTTCTTAGTGTATGTGTATCAAACCATTGACAAAACCAAAGGCAGCAGCTTCTATTGGCCTCTCCCTATGTTTGCCCAAGTCAGATACTAAGGAGAAAGGTTATTCCTTTCTGCATACTCCGTGGAGTGGTAAACATGCCTGACAAAATTTTGTTTTGAGAATAAAAGCAAATGGTCATTGCAAAAACTGCAATACTCACTTATTGCAAGAATGAGATCCCTCCTCAAGACAAATCCAATCAGACGTTCAGATTCTCGAGACACGACCACGGGGAATCCATTGTAGTCGGTTTCTTTGATAAGTGTTTCTATGTCCTCCACAGTCATACTGCCTTGGGTTAAAACTGACAGAGGAGGCTCAGTGCGTCTAGGCCTCATGACGTCTGTTGCCAGCGTCCTGTGTGTGAACTCGTCCTTTGCATCCAGGAAGGGATAGCCATTCAGGTGTATGTGTGCCTCGTAAATACCCACTTTCCCAAAGGCATCTGCTACCCATTTGCTAGTGACTGCTGCAGCCATTAAAGGTACGATGTATTCCAAACCACCAGTCAGCTCGAACATGATGACAACCAGAGAGACAGTCATTCGAGTAACCCCGCCTGCAAACAATTCAGCAACAATTAGAACAAGATTATTAATTAGAACAATTAGAACCAGGGCTTTTCCTTGAGTAGTGCAGATATACAAGTTCTAAGTTCATATTTAAGGTAAGAGTCTCAGGTGGCTTGATGAGTTTATCTAGAAAGTAGCTGAGCCCTACACAATCGCTTTATACCTCGTGCACTGAGTTAGTTGATCTCAGTTCGGGTAATACGTATAACCTACCTCTTTAACTGCACCTATAGTCACCTCCACCTCCCTCCTTGCTTGGCATCTAACCCCACGACTGTCAAATGCTCTGAAACGCTATCCTATATGAAGGGCTCTATACAAATGCAAGTTGTTGTTTGATTAGGGAGGGTAAAATCTGCTATGTTCCTAATGGTTATTCAGTGACTGCTGCCGGAGGTGCGCGTGTGTAGACGTTGAGTGAAAATTGGTCTGAGAGTTGACTGTGATACCCTCACCCTTAAATAATTTACTCATTCGAAGTCCCAGGGACAACTCCAGAAAAGAAATCACACCAGCTTCAGGACAGGAAGAGGGAGGGAGAAAATTGCCAAATTGCTAAATATAATGGAGCTTCCATCAGATATTATGTATATAATGTAATGAAACAGGCAATATTTTCTAATATAAAATAAATTACATTTTACTGTATTGATAATTACTTGTATTTATAGAATACCTATCACATAAACTAAATGTCCCAAACAAGTAAAATTATGAAAAATGAAGTGAATGACCTTATACAGGCAAATACAGTAAAAAATCTGCATGGTCAATATCCCATAAATTACAATAAAGCTGGTGAATTTTAATTTGGAGGTAATGATTGGATAAGAAGGGAATCATAAAGCGTAAATGTGATTAAGCAGGAGGAAAAAAATCATGTTTCTTTGAAATAACAAGAGGGCAGTCCCTTTCTGTCCATTTAAATTTAAAATCCATCGTATCTAGACCTACCTCTTTTACCGTGCTTCCAGTCATCTTTCCCCTCCCCACCCTGTTTAGCTCCCACTCCCAGCTATACATGAAAGGTGTTATATAAATGTAAATTTGTATTGATTAAACTCACAAGGAGACAGAATTTAAATCATACACTTTTCTAATCTTCCTGAAATAAGATTATCCCAATGATGTATGTGTTTGATGATTTCATCAAGGCCTCCTTTGCTAATAGCAAGTGAATAAATTGAGCTACAGCAAGCGAAAATAGTGGGGTAATCCTTCCAATGTTTAAATCATTGGTGAGACCATACTTTGAGTACTATGTATAGTTCTGGTCGCCGCAGTCCAAAAAGGATATTGAAGAAATTGAGAAGATACAGAGAAGGGCAACCAAAATGATTGAGGGAATGGAAGGACTGGACTTTGAGGAGCGACTAAGTAAATTGGGTATGTTCACGCTGGAAAAGAGAAGATTGAGAGGCGACATGATTGCTATCTGTAAGATTCTAAACACTGTATTCTAGACAATACAGATCATGACAGGCTGTTTCAACTTGTCCAGAATAGTAAAGCCAGAGGCTATGGACTGCGATTGAAGGCGGGTAAATTCAGAACAAATCTATGCAAACACTATTTCAGTCTGCGAATAGTGAACCTGTGGAACAGGCTTTCTAGGGACATGGTTGAAGCAGGAAGTGTTGATTCTTTCAAACACAGATTAGATAAGTTTTCTTTTAGAAAATAACATTTTGGGATATAGTTCATAGGTAGTTCGGGACATATGTGTATGCGACCGCGAGGAAGGTGGAAGGCGAACTAGATGGACCTTGAACTTTTTTCGTTTAGCATTTCTTACGTTCTTATTTACTGAAGGAGACAGGGTAACTCGATTTGAGGTAACGAGATGAGTTTCTGGAGAATGAGATTGAGGAGGGTGGTAATATGAGATTCAGAACTATCACAAAAGATGGCATTATATTGAGCACCTGCCTACCTCTCTGACCTGCTCACCCCCAACCCACAATCCGCTGCCTCCGCTCGACTGGCTTCTGCATGTCTCTCGTGCCCCTCCATTCCACCATTGGTGGCCGAAACTCTGGAACACTCTTCCTCTATCCCTCCATTTGCCCCTTCCTTCACCATCTTCAGGTCGTGCCTGAAGACCTTCCTCTTCGACTGCACCTACGGTCACCTCCCTTCCTCCCGGCTTGGCATCGTGCTCTGCCACTGTCAAGCGCTCTCAGATGCTACCCTGAGTGAGGAGCGCTATATAAATGCAAGTTGTTATATAACAATTTTCTCCTGTTCCTAAAACGTATCATGCTCCATACAATATCACATACCCAGGCATGCAGCAGCACCAACCATTGCGTACAGCCCTGGTGTCACACAGTCAGCTCCTGGCCTACACCAGCTCCTGAAGATGAACCAATCGTGGTGGTGATAGGCCATTTGTTCCACACCTATCCCAACCATTCTCCCAGCTATAGCCCCAACAGCCATACTTGGAATGAATAATCCTGATGGGATCTGCACAATGATGAGAAGAAATGAACATTTTTAAAATATGAAATATAAACGGTTTACTCAATCCCAGTGAATGTTTCAAGAAATAGCCTGTTGTTTTTGAAACTCTAATGTTAGAAGGAACAGTGTCAGTTGTCTGTGGTTTTATTTTGGCCAGCTGAGTGTCTGACACATGGGAAAACCCATCACTGTGCTTAAGAGTATTTAAACAGGTCAGAATTCCACACATGCATGTCACCCATGTATGAAAATTTCCCTATGTCAGGAATAGAATGCTCATTCTCTCACCCTAGAGGGACACACCCTGCTTATCTAATTCTGGAAAGTATTAGGTGCAAGTTAGTCATAGCTAAGGTTTAGGGACCCCAGAGTGTGTGTTGAGGGTACTGCTAGCCAGTTAAAACTGCATAGCTTGTCATCAGTGTCTTTCAAGTTTCCCCCTGCTTGTCCATCAAAAAGCACAGTATCCATTAGGGCTTTGGCCTGCACAGTTAACAGAAGCTGAGTGGGAAGAATCCCTGCCTCAGTGACTGGTCTGCCACTCTAAGAACCGTTGTCGAGTCTTGCTGGTTGGTCTATAATCAGCAGTGCCTTAGAGTACTGAGGACTCGCCTGGTTCAGTAACTTGACTAGAGAAACCACAACAGAGGATTGACTCAATTCCATTGCCAAGCATGTCATCTCGAAGACAGCTCAGTGCTGAGGAGACCATGCTTACCTCTCCTCCCCACTCCCCACCCTGCCCAGGAGAATAGTCACTTGTTTTCTATAGTTCTCCATTGTGCATGACCTAAAATGCAAAAAGTGTCTTGGTGCATAAGATAGTAAATGTTCAATTCCCATCTTCACAAGCACAAAATGGAACTCAATAGCTATTTCGTTACTCACCTTCATGCCAAAAGTAAAAATAGTGATAAAGATTTTGAAAACAAGAGCTAGAGCGAGCTGCCATATTGCTGCGTAGACTCCAGGACCTGCTGGTCTGTCAGGTATATCATCGACTGCTCTCGTCATGTTGGGATCATTGATGTAATCACAAAGCTGGGATGATTCCAGTGCTCCACAGTCATTGAAAAGCTCAGAGATTAATTCACTCGTGCTCCGTCTTGTGTATTGGTTAGGAAAGGCGATGATGGCTGTGATCGCTGTAACACATATAACTTCCAGGATCGGGTACTTGCCCAGCTTTGTGTTCTTGCGTTTCCTGCACCAGCCGATATTCCCTCGGATAAAAAGAGTCCCCCATAGGCCTCCAAAAACTCCAAGCAGGATGAATGGGAACAGCTCAGCCATGTACCAAGGTGTGTGATACTCAACATAGAACAGCACCAGCCGACTGTTACCAAATGGATTGATCGAGCGAAGAGTAAAAGCAGCCACCAAGGCAGCGAAAAAAGATCTCCAGAGTGTCTTTAAGGGGAAATAGTAACTGACCTGAAAGAGAACAGAAAAATCCATCATCACTAATAATACTTCTTCCAGCAAAATTGCACGTCTTTACATTCCCAGTCTTGATCTCCCAACGTCACACTTCCCAACAACAAGAACAACAACTTGCATTTATATAGCCCCCTTTAGATAGTATAATGTCTCAACACTTCATAGTGACAGAGTTGGACAATGAGCAAGAAGTGGAAGGGATGACGGAAGGTGCAGTCAAAGAGACGGACCTTGAAGGAAGCGAGGGAGGAAGCGAGGTGAACGGATGAGGCAAATGGATCATCATAATAATAACTGATGAGACCAACGGACTCTGGCATGGAGTTCCAGAGGGTGGGGGCAAAAACACTGAAGGCCTGACCATCGATGGTGGGGCGGGTAGGGTGGGAGATGTGAAGCAGGCTAGTGCCTGCCGAGCAGAGGGAGAGGGTGGATTGATAAGGTTCTAAAAGGTCACAGAGATAGGGCAAGACCGTGGAGGGCCTTAACAGTAAAGGTGAGGATCTTAAACTCGATCCTCTGGGGGATGGAGTCGGACGAGGATGGGGGTGATAGGTTCACAGCGCCTTGTGCAGGAGAGTGCTCGTGCAGCAAAGTTTTGAATAGTCTGCAGCTTGTAGAGGGAAGAGTTGGAAAATCAGACGAGCAGAGTCAAACCTGGACATGATAAAAACAAGGATAAACGGTCTCAGCGGCAAATGAAAGCACAGAAGAGGGCTGTACGACCAATGTACCTGTGCTGCCTCCTTATAAAACCTATCTGTGCAATATTTACTGTTGATAAATGCCAAGGACATTAATCCTAGATAGTATAAAAGGACCTCAGTGCTTTTAGACTATGTTACATTAGGGCAACATAGAAGCTACACAGGCTTTCCTTAGGTTGGGCTACCCTACAGCAACCAAAGTATATGATACTTCCCAACCCACAGCTTTCCTGTAAGACCGATCCTTCCAGAATAATAGAATATTTATGATTTGAGAGGGCAGACAGATCGTCCCTCAGAATATAGCTCTGAAGGTCTTTCCACAATCAACACAGCAAATGAACACTAAACAATGTAACTGTAGTTTAAACACTCAATATTAATTTTCTCTATGGAATTAACTATTTCATATGGCAACACCATGCCTCATGTGAAAAGGCAAAGGGCATAGTAATACTGTGTTTGTTTATAAAGCAGCTGGGAGCACTTGCCCTGCTCATGGCAAGGTATTGTTCTGTTGCTCTCACAGAAGTCCTTTGGAGAATGTATTGTGTGAATACAATACAGCTGGTTGTTATGAGATGGCAGCAATATTTCAGTTTTACTTTATTTTGAAGGGGAGAAATTGCTGTTGAATTGGGAAAAAAAATATTTTTTATTACCATTGTTGCATCCAAACAAAGCATCCCAGTGGTGTTTGCAGGGACGAATTGTGTCATTGTCAAAACATTTATAAAGGTGAAAATCTTGTCTTGTAACTTTAACAGGGTGGTGATGTCCCTTTACAAAATATAAATTACAAATACAGTACAATACAAAACAATACAAAGTTACCTTTATATATCGCCTTTCATGTCAGGAGGATATCCAAAGGCATTTAATAATATTGGTTTGGCACCTGAGTTGGGCAATTGCGCACAGCAGTGTCCCACAAATAGACGTAGATCAAGTGATCAAATTATTACTATTGTTATTTTTTGAAGGGATTATTATTGCTTAGTGATAATTATTACCAAAAGACACTGGGGAATACTTCAACTTGAAAAGTAATATAGTTTACCTCTTCCAAGCTGAACAGCACTCCACCGATTGGAGCTCCAAAAGCAACGGAGACTCCTGCAGCAGCAGCTGCTGACAGCACCTGGACCAAAAGCAAAGACTCGGGTTATTTCAACATTTAGACGCTAGACAATAAAAAGAACCTAAACTAGCTCTCCTCTCACATGTGCCAGTGGACTCTGATATCATGTCATGCCGTTATCAACCTTTCTCACCTCAACTTTAGNAAAAAGGACTTGCATTTTCACACAATACCTAACCATTAGTGCTAGTTAGAACCAACGTAATCCAATATTCTTCCAGCTATTTTACAATACAATTTACGTTTATGTAGTATCTCTCACATCGGAAGGAGGTCCCAAAGCAGTTTACACTTCTGGTTGGGCATAGGAGCCAAGGGTGGGGAAGCAAAAAATGACTGAAAACACAGTCAAAGAGGTATATTATAAGGCATCGCTTGAAAGAGGGGAGGGAGGGAGCAAATCAGAGGGACCTGGGAATGGAGTTCCAGAGAGCGGGAGCCAAGTGGCTTTTCATTGCAAATATGCTGATATAAATTGAACTGAGCTTGTTTGCTTACCTCTCTTCTCTTCCCTTCATTTTTGCTGTATTTTGAAAACAGGCAGCAGAATAAATTGCCGCAGCAACATGCCACATGAACCAGGGGTCCTTCCTTCCCGAGGCTTAGGCCAGAGGACACAGCTAACACCAGAGTCACCGTCTTAACCAATAATGTCCATTTGCCCAGGTAGCCCCTAATAATGAAGCCACTAAGGATTGTCTTAATCTGAAAATATGCAATTTAAGTTAAAGACAAAACTGCATCGGATGTGAAAAGTAAAAAGAAAAACAAATGCAAATTTTTCTGAAATGTTTTATTTGAAACAGGATGAGAGAATTAATGTGCTTTGTGATGGAGAAGATGGAGCTGAATTCAATCCCACAATTAGGATTTGTCGCAGCATGTTATCACTGTGACTAACCTCAGGAATTCCAGACCCGCAAGCATAAGGAGCAAAGACTCTGACCAGTGAGACGGCCAGGAAAGCAAAGGTCAAGGCCCATAGGACATATATCAAATAGTTCAGAATGTACGCACTTGCACCCTGAAAGCAAACATAGTGATGATTACTAATAGTGTTGCCATTCAGGTTTCTCCCCTTTGAAAATACAGAGCACATCATGCAAAAGCTGGCACTAGGAGAAGAGCCATAGGTTTGCTGTGTCAGAGTCCTGTATCATTGTAGCGACACTGGTATGCAGAAGCATGTTTGTATTAGTCAGCTGCTACAGATCCAAAACCAACATGAAGGCATTTCCAATTCTTGTTTTATCTATCCCTAAAACACATCAGGATTTGTTTCTGCACATTCGCATTAAAACAACAACAGAAAACCTGCTTCCAAATCCAGACTGAATTGAGAAGATGGGCACTCACTGACATCAGGAACTGTGCGAATCCTGTGAGCTTCAGTGTCAAGTTTCCTTCCCAAGCAATTTGCTAAAATTCAGCAAGAGCATACATTTTTGACAGCGCTCCGAGTGTAAGGCTAAGAATTACATTTTTGGGATAATGTCAAACCAGCCTAAGTCACCGTATACCTGTGAACGAACTGACACTGAAGCGCACAAGAATCACACATTCAATGGTATGAATGATTGGCCATCTTTTACTCAATGCACACAAAGCATTGCTGTGCAGAATAAAGAATAACTTCACCAATCCCTTTTCTGCCCTCTTCTTTAATTGAACGGTGAAATCAAAACAGAAAATACTGGAAATACACAGTGGGGTTAGTGAGCATCTGAAAGAACATCATAGGTTAAAGTTTCAAGTGTGACCTTTCACTGACTAAACAATGTTAAAGAATCACATTGGAATTATTGACCGATCTGTCTCTATCATGTTCCTTTTGTTAAACAGGTCTCACAAGTACAATGGACCTGTTCTGTACAAGAAATGCTAAATAAATTCATGTAAAAATTAAAACCCCTCATTAAATAGCGATGTTTAACAACGTGGGTCAGGAGTTCTACATAAAAAATAAATAGGGCATTACTACATTGTGTATGTACCTACACTAAATCATCTCACTGTCCCATTCAATTTTGAATCAATGCTGTCAGCTCTCATCTGAAATATGTTGCAATGTACAAGCCACAAGTCTAATTGAATCAAGGCTTACTTCTGATTGACTGGTTAAAAGCTCTGACCATTTCTTCCACTGAGGGCATTTGTCCCTGTCCTCAAAGGTCGTTTCATTTGATGTCCAGCAGCATTGTTCATGACTGAACCAGAATCCAGCCAGACAGACCCCCTCCTTCAGATCAGTCATCCAGTCGACTGCTAGATCAATCACACCAGCTAATGTGCCTGAACAAGGTAAGTCACAAGAGGTAATATTAAAGTCCCTGCAGATGAATGTACTATTTTAGTTTATTGTTGACCAGTCAGGAATCTACTTACATTATAAAATTACACTTATTATTCAAATAATTTAAGAAGCCCAACATTTCATTTGTTTGAGACGTTCTCCTACATCAAAAGGCCTATATAGGCATAAGTTACTGTTGATGGTATTCATATGTATAATTGTCCTGATTTTTTTTTAAAATTTCAGTTTACATGGAGAATATTAGAAAATATAGGAGGTGAAAATTGTGTCCTGTGAAAACCAAGAACAACTTCAACTGAACAACTGTGATGATCCAGTCACACCTGCTCCACTTGATCTCTGACAGCATTTTTCAACGATGTGCGTACAATTTTTAGACTATAAGAAGTTTGCTTATGTCACATCTCTATTAATCTACAGTATTTTCCAGTATAATATATAATAATAATCCTTGCATTTGATATAGCGCTTTTCACGTCTTCTAGACGTTTCAAAGTGTTTCACAGAATATACTATAAAGTGAATTGGCTGTATATTTGTGGGCGAAATGCGGCAACCAAATTGTGCTCAGCAGTGTCTCACAAACAGTCGTGAAGTGAAGTGACCAATTTATTATTGTTCTTTTTCTTAAGGGATTATTATTAGGCATGTGGAGTGTGGAAACAAAATTAAATTCTATAAAGTATAACAGGCAGTTTGCAAAAATATTTAACATTCAGAGGTACGTTTTTAAAGTTATTGTAAAAGAAATATTGCGCTACTAAAAAATGATACATAACGACTAATTACTGCCAAATCAATACCTATCTTAAAACAGCTCATCTCCCCTGATTGGAATCGCCTGCATTTACAACAGCTATGCAGGAAAATGGTGGATTGAATGTGAACAGACTATTTTAAGGCAAAACCCACCCTCCTCAACATCAGAGGTGAAACTAGGCTATCAGCTCTCTACAGGAACATAGAGCAGCCCCACAAGAGGCTCTGGGGTTAAGACAACAACTCCATATTAATCTTAGGGTCATATTAACAGAGGTTCCTCACTTTTATCAGGGTAATTTCACTTCCACTGCGATGGCTGGGACTGCCTACTACCTGGCAATATTCTCCCATGATTCCACTAGCTGGAGAAGGAGTGTTGAATCTTATCATTGTCAATTTAAACTGGTACCCATAGACAGAGGCACACCATAGACAGAGTAGATTCAAATATTTATAGTCTTGGAAACAAAAGTACAGTTGAGGAATGCAGCAAGATTCAAAGGGAATGCTAACACAGGGCAAAGGATCAAAGAGATCCAGAAAAGAGACAAATAAAGGAAAATAATAAACTACCAAATAAATAAAATCTGAGAATGACATTGAAACATGCAACCAAAGACAAAGACTAAAATAACAAGGTGAAATTTAAAAGTAAAGACAAAATACAGTGAGCTGGTTTAGAAAGCTGAGATAATCAGTTTCCTAGACCACTGCTGCCATCTTGTGGAATTGAAGGTATTAAACTCGATGGGAGACTCGATAAGGAATCTCACAAGGAACTCCGATGCAGGGGGAAAACAGGAAGTAGCGTCAGAGACGACAAACAAGGAACAAAGAAGACTGGGAGAGACTATTCACTTTGGAATAAAGAGTAGTCCAGAAAGAGGAGGGGAGAAATTGTACGCACACCATTGAAAAATGCTGTCAGAGATCAAGTGGAGCAAGTGTGACTCTTCCTCTCCCCCTTCACAAATGGAGCATCACAGCTTTACTCTAAGATTTGTGTGGGTGGCAGTCAATATGGGTACCAGTTTAAATTGCCAGTGATAAGATTCAACACTCCTTCTCCAGTGTAAATGCACGCAGCATGATGAATAATAATAAATAATAATCCTTGCATTTAATAAATTGCCTTATCACGTCTTTGAGACATCTCAAAGCACTTCATAGAATTTACTATAAAGTGAACTGACTGTATATTTTGTGGGCGAAACAAGGCAGCCAATTGCGCAAAGCAGTGTCCCACAAACAGTCGTGGATTGAGTGACCAAATTATTATTTTTTTGAAGGAATTATTACCCCCAGAAACGCGATCTGCCAATCGACTAACAACCAGGTTCCTACTTACTGCTAGGTAAACAGAGGCGTGTGGAGAAAGGAAACTTGCCCAATATTTCACTCTGCTGGGAATCGAACACAGGTCTCTCGCTTGTGAGGCGAGTGCTCTAATTACTGAGCTACAGGACTCCAAGTAAGGTTGATGAGCTGCAGGCACAAGTTGCCACATGGGATTATGACGTAATGGCAATAACGGAGACCTGGCTCAAACAAGCATAGGAATGTATTCAGGAGGGATAGGGACAGAACAAGAGGTGGTGGGTGGCAGAGGGTTCAAAGACGGAATCTATTTGGTTAGAATTGAGGAGCAGAAGAGGAGCTGTTACACTACTGGGTGTATATTATAGACTACCAAATAGTATGAAGGAGATAGAGGAGAAAACCTGCAAGCAGGTATCAGAAAGATATAAAAACAATAGAGTTGTGATAATTGGGGGCTTCAATTATCCTAACATATTCTGGCAAAATAACAGTGTAAAAGACACGGAGGGGGAAGAATTCCTAAAATGTGATCGTGATGTTTCCAGCCCAACGAGGAAGAAAGCCGTGCTGGATCTAGTCCGGGGGAATGAAGTGGGGGAAGTGGAGCAGGTTTGAGTGGGAGAGCATTTGGGTAACAGTGATCACAATATCATTAGGTTTAGAGTAGTTATGGAAAGGGACAAGGAATAATCAAAAGTAAAAATACTCAACTGGAAAAGAGCTAATTTCGGTGAGTTGAAAAGGGATCTGGCCCAGGTAGACTGGAAACAAAGATTGACGCGTAAACCAGTAAATGAGCAATGGGAGGCCTTCAAGAAGGAGATAGTTAGGGTACAAACCAAACACATTCCTGTGAGGGGGAAAGGTAGGGCATCCAAAGCTAGAGCTCCCTGGATAACTAAGGAAATTGAGATTAAAATGACACAGAAAAAGGAGACTTATGATAAATATCAGGTTCAAAATACACTCGAGAATCAAGCAGAATACAGAAAGTGCAGAGGAGAACTGAAAAAGGAAATAAGAGGGGCAAGAGTGTATGAGAAAAGATTAGCAGGTAACATAAAAGGGAACACTAAAGTCTTCTACAACAACAACTTGGATTTATATAGCGCTCTCAATGCTGGACGGCGTTTCAGAGCGCTTCACAATAACGGATCCCGGGGCCGAGCCAAGGTAAGTGGAGGAAGGTCACCAAAGGCGCAGTTGAAAAGAAAGGTCTTCAGCCAAGACCTGAAAATAGGAAGGGAGAGGGCGAGGCGAAGGGAGTGAGGAAGGAAGTTCCAGAGCCTCGGCGTAGCGGCTGAAGGCACGGCCGCCGAGGGTGGAGCGGAGGACTCGGCGGACAAGGAGGAGGCCAGATCTGGTGGAACGAAGGCAATGGGCACTGTTTTGAGGAGAGAGGTCAGAGACGTTGGGGGGTGCAGAGGAGTGGAGGGATTTGAAGACAAGGGTAAGGATCTTGAAGTCGATCCTCTCTGGGACAGGCAGCAAGTGAAGTCTGACAAGGACAGGGGTGATTGGGGAGCGGAGTTTGGTGCGAGTAAGAATGCAGGCGGCAGAATTTTGTATAATCCGGATTTTGTGGATGGTAGTGGAGGGGAGACCTACGAGGAGGGTGTTTGAATAGTCCAGCCGAGAGGTGACAAAGGCATGGACCAGGGTTTCAGTGGCTTTCGGAGAGAGGTAATGACGGAGACGGGCGATCCGTCAGAGTTGGAGGAAAGCGGTGCTGGTGAGGGACCGGATGTGAGGGAGGAAGGATAATTGGGGGTCGAACCTGACGCCTAGGTTGCATATGGGTTCGGAGAGTTTTAGTGGGAGGTTGGGTAGGTGGAGGAGGTGAGAACCGTGAGATTTTAGACCCTGACGAGAGCCAAAGAGTATGGCTTCCGTCTTGTCAACGTTCAGCTGAAGGAAATTTGCGCTCATCCAGCTCCTGACAGGCAGGCTGACAGAACATCAGGGGACTGGGGGTCGCAAAGAGAGGTGGAAAAAAGTGTTGGGTGTCATCCACATACATGTGAAAGTGTACCCCATGTCTGCGGATGACATCCCCAAGAAGGAGCATGTAGATCAGAAAGAGGAGGGGGCCAAGGATGGATCCTTGGGGTACTCCGCAGGTAACCGGGTGAGAGCGGGAGGAGAAGCCGTTTGTGCAGATGTACTGCTGGTGGTTCGTGAGGTAGGACTCGAACCAGGCAAGTGCGGTCCCACTGAGGTGGATGAGGGAGGAAAGGCGGTGGAGGAGGATGGCGTGATCGACTGTGTCGATCGCGGTGGAGAGGTCCAGGAGGACAAGGAGGCAGAGGGAGCCCTGGTCACAGAAAGGATGTCGTTTGTGACTTTTAAAGCGCAGTCTCTGTACTGTGGGCAGGGCGGAAACCGGACTGGAGGGGTTTGAAGAGGGAGTGGGAGGAGAGGTGTGTGCGGAGTTGATTTGCAATAAACATAAACATGTATAATCTATAAACATATGAACAGGAAAAGCATGGTCAAAGGAACGATGGGGCTGATTAGGGACCAAAAAAGAAAACTTATTGTGGAGGCAGAGGGCATGACTAAGGTACTGAATAAGTACTTTGCAACCATCTTCACAAAAAAGGATGCTTCCAATGTCATAGTAAAGGAGAAGGGGGTAGATAAATTGGATAGGATAAAAATAGATAGAGAGAAGATACTTAAAAGGTTAGCAGTGCTCAAAGTAGAAAAGTCACCCGGTATGGATGGGATGCATCCTAGGTTACTGAGGAAAGTTAAGGTGGAAATATCAGAGGCTCTGTTCACATTCTTTCAATCCTCCTTGGATATGGGAATCGTGCCTGAGGACTGGAGGGTTGCTAATATTACACCCCTGTTCAAAGAAGGGGTGAGGGATAAACCTGGTAACTACAGGCCAGTTAGTCTAACATCAGTGGTGAGGAAACCTCGAGAGACCATAATCTGGGGCAAAATTCAAACACAGTGCTCAGTAGAAAAAGTAACTAAATGAGCATGTTGTTTTAAAACCCCATTTTATGCATTGAATACACATGCATGCAGGTTTTGGGCTGCATGCATCACATTGCATCAGGTGTCCAGTCTTGACACCCAAAAAATTGATCAGATTTGTTCCTTCGATCTGTGAATCTAATTTCTATATAAAATAGTAAAGGTAATGTTTTGTTATCGGCCTTGATTTACTGAGTCCTTTATGATTTCCAAAATGAATCCTAATTATCATCGAATTAACTTTGAGGTTTTTTTGTGTGAATATTTTCTGCTTGATCTTCTCTGAATTTTTGATAGAAAAATTAGACCCCAAAAGAAAACTCAGATTTTTATTTTGTGGATGAAAACTAACGTTAATGGTCCTTACCTACAAATTACAAGCAGTAATTACTTTCACTCCAGCCTTGAAGAAAAGTTTAAAAGCAACAGCTCAGTAACTAGGATTCATTATATTTTGGTTACTAAAAATAGCATAGTGATCTTTTCATTACAACTTTACGCTGAGATTTTACATAATGCAACATATATAAAATATGCTATCTTCAGCAATTCTGGAATGACAAGCTATATTTGTATCAACCAGCTCATTGCTTAATTTCTTGGACTAGAAGGGTTCAAATTTAGAAGAATTATTTTGAATTCAATAGCATACCTGCCAGTAATCCAATGAACAGCATCACCACCCATCCTGACCATGCGTCCAGCAAACCTTTGATACATTCCCAGGCAGATTCTTTACTCCTGCTTGTTATCTAAAATGAAGGCAGAATAGTTCGGAGAACATTGGTTTATTATTTTTACAGCCTACTTGCTATTACATTAATTACAGTCAGGATGATTCCATCACAGAGTAGCAATGCATTATTCTGTGATTGTTTTCATTTCCTCTCAGATGAAACAGAAAAAGGCCTTTCATCATCAGATATAGGGGGTCTATTATGCACCATGGAAGAACACAGACAATGGGTCTAATTTGCAGTAATAATTCAGTCATTTCTTAAAGTCGAGCTAGACTAGACCAGATGGAATCACAAAATACGTGTACCGGTTTCAATACCAGCTGCTCCCCACAGGTTATGAAGAGTTGAAGACAAATTAATTAATTAATGTAATTTTACATGTAATGTAAAATTAATGAGCACTAGCTGTAGTATCCAGCCCAAACCATTACTTTCTAACTAAAAACAAACTGCTTTATGAATGTTAATAAAATTCATTTTTGAAGAGCCTAAACAAACTCCTCTTCCCCCTCTCTTTCTGCCTTTAAGTCCTGCCTCAAAACCTTGCATCTTCCTCCTCCACCTTGCTCAGCATCCAACCCTGCATAACCCACTGTGAAGGGCGCTATGTTAATGCAAGTTTTTGTAGTATATGCTCACTTTTGTGAATGATTATTAGCCTTCTGAAAAGAAAAGCACTTATTTCTAATTTGCCACATAGTTTTATCAATAGACACAATCGTGAGATTGTGCAGTACCTTCCTGTGCCTGTCAGTATCACGGGACTTTTCTCTCAACCAGTCGATAGTGTGAAAGTCTTCATATGTCCCAACTTCAGGAACCGATTCTTCTAGAAAGTCCATTAAATTCCCAGATCCGTTCATTTCTCTTCCAGTTACCATACTAGATCCTGTCAAAAATATATTCAAATCAAAATAGGCAGATTTCAAGATTACAAAAGTTCCCTTTGAGCTGGTGAAGAAGTTTTACTGTGGCAAGATCAATTCAGTATTGAAATATGGATGTGGCAATTTCTTCTGGGTTCAATACAGTGTAACATTAAAGATGTGGACCATATAATCGTTCAACTGTTTTTCTTGCCCAGTGAATGATCACTTTAGAATTGTCAAGAGGTAAATCTTATCCTGTAACAAAAACAGAAGTCGCTGGGAAAACTCATGGGTCAGGCAGCATCTATGGAGAAAGGAAAGTGAGTCAATGTTTCGGGTCCACGACCCTTCGTCAGAACTAGGGCATGTTGGGAGGGAGAGGCTTTTAAGGGCTAACAAAGAGTGGGGAGTCAGGGCAAGGAAAATAAAAGAGAAAATGGGGTGGAGGACAGGGGATGATGGGTTAGGGTTAGGGTTAGTGATGCAAAACAAAGGGGAGGATTGCAACAAAACAGGGGAATAGAGATGTTGTTAATGCAAAACAAAGAAGGGAAAAAATTGCAACAAAATAGGCAGACCAGAGAAAGAAAAGGTGTGCCTGGGACCCAGATGATAATGGTAATGGTCACAGAAGAGGAGCTTCCTTTAAACTCAAGGAACATTTATCTGCTAGGGACCTTACAGCACTCTGGCCTCAATATTGATTTCAACAATTTCAGACCATAACAGCTCACCTTCCCCCTCCCCCTCCCCCTCTTCTGGGTTAATAAGAGCTGATTGGGAGGATTCCACCCCCCCCCCCCCCCCCCCCCCCCCCACCCAGTGACTGGTCTGTTGTTCCAAGTTCTGCAATGAAGGAGGGAAAAACCAAGAAAATCCAGAATGCTTAAAAAAAAGCCTTCTAGCACACAGCTTGAAAGGAGTGTAAGAATATAAAATAAGGGCAAAATCAGATGTGTGCCCTCGCTGGCAGCTACATAGCTAAACAAATTCCAAGCACAGAAAGTAGAACTGAGCCTGTAGCTTTCAAGAATATTTCAGTAGATGTGTCTCTTAACAGATGTCAGAGGCATGTTTCAGCTGGGGTGGAATTTCGTCTGTGGAGATTTCAAAGATTAAGTGAAATTCCTGGGGATCGATCAAATATTGAAGTACTACCACACCTTCAGGAAGGTGTCTGCAGACATTTTAGGAAATTGAGTCAGCGTCACTGAAAACCAGAGGCTGAGAGTTCCAACACACTTGCCCAGTGTGCTTTTTTTTATTACAAAAATGTACCCAGCAGTTCGTAGCCACTAGAAATCACTGTGAACGAGCTGTCAGACACTGCAAACAGTGCTTGAGTGTGATGAGACTGGCTTGCTACTGATCTACGTGGCACTGGCTTTGCAAGAAGGTAAACAAACAAATGGACCAGGCACATGTCATTTCATAAAGATTATATTCATCATAAAGGGTTCATCGATGTGCGTATTAGGTCTGACTTCCTATTGCTGAATTGCTGAATTTGCAGAGAAATAAATAACATACACAAACCACTACTGACAAAATGTGATGTGCAACAAAAGCAGCAGTTGGCTATTTCTATTTTGGTACATACTGTATATACTTTTCCTTTGAGGCATTACATTTCAATGGAATATTAATGTTTTCTGTATCCTATTTGTTCAAAGAGAGGCAGATAGAAAGGGAAGAAAGACAGTAAGAGACAAAGAAACAAAAAATACATTGAATCACCAAAGACATTACATCACAGAGAGGGAAAGAGGAAATCATCTTAAAGTAACTGTTTCACATCGGTGATATTACCTCTCCTTCAACAACTTGCTACTTCTTGTTTTTTTCTATTATTTACTCACCAAGCCTATGCTGGCTCCAGCTCATCCATTAGAGCTGGGTACCCTAATGTTAATGCTCTGCTCTTAAGAAACTTAAAGGAAATAGGGAACCAGCAAAAGAAATGAAGGGGTAAAGGGAAGGGATAGGAGAGAGGAGGAAAAAGGGTGAGGGAGAACAAAGAGGGGAAAGAGGAAAGAATCTTACGGCAACTGTTGTTTCACATCAGTGATATCACCTTCCCTTCAACAACTTGCTAATTCTTGTGCTCTGGGTCTCCAGTTGTGGCCTGCCTGGTTGTGAGATCGTAGCACGGTAGATTCACTTCTCACTCCCTTTTCTTCTCTCTGATGGAATCCTGTTACATTACAGATAAGGATAGTGGCTTTGACTTGTCAACTGCCCACAATAACAGCTGAAATGAGAGGGTTTTAATCACTCAAAAGGTACAGGATGTTGGGAGCATTGGATACTTGAGGAGGACATGGCTTAGGATTTGTAACCGTTTTACAAAATGTTGGTAACACTTATTTACTGTAGCTGTCGATTCTCTCAATCACTATAATGTCTTGGTCTTGTTCTCCCTCTTTCCAAATTCTATGAAAATAGATTTCATAGAAATAAATCTGATGCCATATTTTACATGCCTTTCAGTTACACGTCAGTTCTTTAAACATATTAGGAGCATGTCTTTACTGGAGATGAATAGTGGAACTTCAACATAACAAACTGATTGAAAGTGTAGGACTCCCAGTGCGTTGAGGTGTTTGATTGAAATTCATAGGTCGATACATTTTAGGTACCATTCAGAGTGGAAAAATCAGCATAACTAGCACCGAAGGATAAGGAAGAAAGCCATAAGTTCTCTGGAGAGGGTCATACATCAAAACGATGAATTAACATAGAAAAGGCTATTAACATTAGCTGCCATCAAAGCATCATCAAGGGAATGAGGCTGTCATCCTTTCCTGTGTAAAGTTCCTTTATGGGAAAAGAAAACAGAGTTTAAGATTCCTAGAAGTTAGAAAAATATTTTCAGGTTTAAAAGAGAGGGGGCATTCAGAAAAGTGGAGATTTGAGTTGAGGTCAGATGATTAAATCATTTTGAAAAGTGTTGCTCATTTTGGATTTTTGCTTTCCAACATTGTGAGGATTTCCATTAATCTGTGGCTTATACAGTTGCAATAACATTGTGTGTGTGTGTGTGTGGTGGTTGGGATGGGAAGGGAGAGGAAAAAAAGAAAATTTAAAACATATTACAAAAAGACACTTTTAACCCAATATACTATTCTATCTCATTTTCACTGTAAGTTGCAGGGAGAAATGGGAAACTTTGCTAAATTGACAATTAACAATAACAAGTATGTGAGTGGATGCCCAGTGAGGACAGGGATAGGATGGAGCTTAGCAGAGCCAAATTATCTCCTGACACTTACTAACTAAGATCCTAGGTGTCAGCCTTACTCTTTTGGTAGTACTCTCTCTCTGAGTAAGAGGTTTGAGTGTTCAGGCCTCACAGCAAGACTTTGAACTCACAGTCTAGGCTGACACGCCAGTAAATTGCTGGGTGAACCTTCACTATATTGTCGGAGGTGCTGTCCTTTGGATTAGATGTTAAACCGAGGCCCCATCTGCCTGTTCAGACGGACTTTAAAGATCCCATAACTCTATTTGAATAGAGAAGGGAGTTTCTCTTGGTGTCCGAGCCAACAAACCCTGTGGTAAATTGGTCATTCACTTCATGACTGTTGTGGGATGTTGCTGTATGCAAATTGACTGCCACATGCATTTACAAAATGCACAGTGACTACATTTTACAGTAAATCCTGTGAAACGCTTTGAAATGTCCTCGCATGAAAGGCACCATATCAAATTCAAGGATTATTATATGAAGAATAGTCATTTGGATGAGATAGGTGAATGTCCATATTCAGTCATCTGCCAGTCTGGCCAAAATCTAGGTTCATGTCAAAGTGTGGGATATAATAGTGAACCTGGAGATATGGTATCCAAATATGTTAATAATCATGTTTTCAGAAGCAGGTTATCAATAAATAAACCACTTTTCTCCCACCCCCCTCGCTGTATAAATCAATAATATCATAGAATCATAGATTAATGCAGCACAGAGGAGGCCATTCGGCCCATCGTGTCTGTGACAGCTCTTTGAAAAGAGTTATCCAAATCAATCCCACTCCCCCACTCTCTCCCATAACCCTGCAAATCTGTCCTTCCCAAATAATTATCTACTTCTCTTTTAAAAGTTGTTATTGAATGGGCTTCCACCACCCTTTCAGGCATGCATTCCTGATCCGAACAACTAGCTGTTTGAAAAATTTTCTCCTTACCTTTGTTTCTTTTAACAACTATTTTAAATCGGTGTCCTTGGGTTACTGACCCACCCGCCAGTGGAAATAGTTTCTTCTTGTTCACCCTATCAAATCCCCTCATCACCTTGAAAACTTCTATTAAGTCTCCTCTTAAACTTCTCTGCTCCAAGGAGAATAATCCTAGCTTCTCTAGCCTCTCCTGATAACTGAAGTCCCTCATTCCTGGTACCATCCTGGTAAATCTCCTTTGCACCCTCTCCAATGCCTTGGCATCCTTCCTAAAGTGTGGTGCCCAGAACTGAACACAGTACTCTAGCTGAGGCCTAACCAGTGTTTTATAATATATATATATCTTCCTGCAACATTCTTATATTTATTTTATATTCTTTTTTATTCATTTATTTTAAATTCACTTGTTTTCTGGAACAATTTGCATCTTCCCTGCAGCTACTGCAAAATTTGCAAACCATTACTCATTAACAAGAATCAATAGCACTGTCATTCAAATATTGCAAAATGGACAATCTAATACCAGAATAAGTGTTGATTAATTCACCTCTGTGCTTGGGTACAGTATACGGCATTACAAAACAAAAAATTCACTTTAGCTGAAATTACTCTGCAAATAACAGCACTGAACATACATATCCCTTGTGAAAACAGCCATGACACTAACCTGCTAGTGGAATCAACATTGGGTCTCATTGTGTCTTGGCCTGACTGCTTGCATAAACACGTAAAAAAGGAATAAGTTCTAAGGATATAGGGACAAGGCTTTCTCTAGAGTTAACAACCACTTAATTTTATAATAATAAAATAATAATCCTTGCATTTGATATAGCGTCTTATCACAT